ATTATGGGACAAACATTTATATAGTTATTGCAGAAGTTTTTATCTGTCACACACAATGTTCTCTCTTGAATATATAATATAATTTTTTGACAGACTCTTTTTTTTTTTGTGAGACTTCTCCTATTTTTGTGAGAGTGACAGATAAATTTTTAAATTTTTCTGCCACAATTGCAAAAAAATTAAACGCAGGCCAAAGAGTATTGTAATAAAGTTTGTATTATTTTGTCTAGTATTTATGTATATCAATCATACTATATAAAATCGTTTCTATTATGTATTGACTATTAAATAATATGGGGAATATGTCTCTTCAGCTGCCGCAAAGACACTGTTCCGTGCAGTAGACACATACTTTTCAGAATACGGTTCTGTATCTTGAAAAGTATGTGTCAGTTGCAAATAACTTCTTTGCAACAACACAAGATTAATAGAACCCAAATAATATATTGAAGAAAATGTGTTGTATCTCATATATTTGTAGTGTGATGTTTTACTCATGTTCTACTTGTAGTTTGTTATTCTACTTATGTAATAAAGCTTAATCAATTTACATCAATGTAAGATATAGTCTTTTTATGTCATTTAATAATCTTACATACAATGTGATTTTTGTTAATCAAATTACCATTGAATTAAATTTATTCATTACCTTATTCTTTATGTCAGGTCTTATAAAAATTGAACACAATAAGAATACAATCAAATGATTTTTATTTTCATATATTTCAAAAGTATATGTCATGCAAAATTTTAATGCGAATCAACTAAATATTAAAAGTTTTGCATTAATATAATATTTTATAATTATTATTATAATTTATATGATATGAAATTTTAAGAGATAAAATTATTCAGTTATTAAAATAATATCATTTTTCTATTATTACTAAACAATCAAAGGAATCCTATACATTCTTCAACTAAAATTTATTCCTATAAAAAGGCATAGATTTGGATATTCTTTTCCATTCATTTTCAATCCTCCTCTCGTACGAAAACGAATGGTTAAAATATAAACATCGTAAGAATACCAATACATAAACAAAAGGTTAGAACGATTATCAGAGTTGTAACATCATCACGAACAGAATTGACTCCGTTTAGAGTAGTAACTTGTATGCAACACTTTAGAAATAAGTGCATTAATAATATGAGCCACGTAATCTCAACATTACCTTAAATCTTTTACGGTGACACTAAAACAGATATTTAATGTTAATTAATAGCATTGAAGGATCTCTTAAGTGACATTAAATTAGTCATAATATAAATAAAATTGACAATAGTAATTAAAAAACTGATTTCATGTTGGATGAATATATTTTAAGAAATGCTAATAATATATTCTTTATTATTTTTCACTACTTATTTTATTAAGTAAAATATCATGATGGTTGCATTAAATAACTTGAAAATACTTTCCGACTCAACATAAAATTTTATCCAAAAAAAATCTTCCTGTTCTTATTACCTTTTGTGTTTTTATCACTATTAAATTGTATTTAAATCAATGGTTGAAAGAGAGAAACAAGATGTAGAAAATTATCTTTTTAGTTTTTATTACTATTAAATTGTATTTAAATCAATGGTTGAAAGAGAGAAACAATATATATAATTAGTTGAGAAAAATAAGGAAGAGAGAAGCAAAATAAAAAATAATTATATTTGAGACTATTGATTTAAATTTAATCTAACGACAAAAAAAAAATAGTATAAGTAGAAAGATTAAATAGGCAGACAATATAACATTTCCCATAATAAAAACAGCATTAAAAAGTAGGATTTAATGTTTTCACTTTTACTGCAAATTTTTTTTACTACACTAACATAAAAGTGAGTGAATCCAATTATAAAGAGAAAAGAGAGAAAATACTCATTTTTATATGAGTGTGGTAGAAAAAAAATTCTACAGTAAAAATAGAAATATTTTTCCCAAAAAGTATTATAAAAAGTGTATTGTTGATATTTTTTTAAGTATAAAAAAATGTAAACTCATAATTTAAGTAAATTATTTAAACTTTAATTATTTTCCCAATTCTAAAACGTTTAACATGAATATTTTAATAAACTTATATCTCATATATTTTCATGTAAATATCCTTTCTCCCACTTTAGCCTTAAATCACATATATATATATATATATATATATATATATATATATATATTTTTTTTTTTCACATAACTGGGAAGTTTGTAAGTGCATTATGAATCATATAGTTCCCCTTGTTATTATCGCTTGACTTTAATTATATTTTTATTAACATAGCTAGTTTGTTATATATAGTATAGCTAATAGTTTTGAGAAATTAAACTCGTTTGGTAAGCACTTCTTTGTAAAAATTTTTTAAAATTAAAATTTTTATTTTTATTTTTAGAATCAAATTTAAAAAATATATATGAGTTATTTTATTTTGTATTTTGATTTTTAATTTTTAAAAATAAAATAAAATAAAAAACACATATTTTAATGACTATTTTACAAATGTTAAGAAAAAAAAAAACCAGAACACAGTTATTGGACATAGAAACAGGAGAGCAGAATAAGATACATATCCTAAAGTTTCACATATTTTAATAACTATTTTACAAATGTTAAGAAAAAAAAACCAAGAACACAGTTATTGGACAGAGAAAGAGGAGAGCAGAATAAGATACATATCCTAAAATTTCACATATTTTAATAACTATTTTACAAATTTTAAAGAAAAAAAAACCAGAACACAGTTATTGGACAGAAAGGAGAGCAGAATAAGATACATATAGGGGTGTCAAAATGGGTTGACACGACACGAATTTGACACGACACAAATACATCAACGCTAACACAACACGAATACATCAACGCTAACATGACACAAATTTTTATTCGTGTCAAAATCTTTAACACTGATACGACACGATTTTTTTGCAGGTTGACACGATACGACACGAATAACACGCAAAATAGGAGTCAAAACGGTAATTGACAAATTTTTTTTTTTAAAAATGGATCGAAATTAAAAAAAATTAAAAAAATAATAATAAAAAATTAAAAATAAAATAATTTAAAAAAAATACGGGTCGACACGAACACGAATACATCAACACGAACACGACACGAATTTTTTACCTGTCATTTTTCCCAACACGGACACAACACAAAATTTTTTGCGGGTCAACCAGAACACGAATTTTCGTGTCGTGTCGCGGGTCGACCCGCATGTCAAAACCTATATTGACACCCCTAGACACATATCCTAAAATTTCTTCGTCAAATAACATTTACGATTTTTTTTTTATTTGTTTCACATTATTCCGTATGGTCCATAGGGGTGTAAATGGCCAGGCTAGCCAGCCCAGCGTACAGCTCGGCTTACATTGAGTCTGGCCTAGTCCAGCCTTTCAGAAAAGAAGAGTAGGCTTAGACTTATAAGATAGCCTTTTTAACAAATAGGTCATAAACCAATTTTGTCAAGCCCGACCTAAAGCCTTGTAGGAGGCTGATCTATTTAATTTATTAAAATAAAATAATAAAATAATATTTATTTTATGTGGTAAAGTACCAATACTAACCGTAATTTTTATGTGCACCGCCGCTTCTCACTCTCGGCTTCGTCTTTTCTCTTAGAACCTTTGTGCTTGTAGCCGGCTATTTCCGACAGCCACTCTCTGCTTGGAGACTTTATTTCAGCACCCAATAATTATATTTTTCTTATTTTTCCCATTTCTTTGATTCTATTCCTCTATGATATAGATTATAGAGCTGTTTCTTGTTTGTCATTTTTTTCTTATGAGAAGTATGAGTGCATGCATGAATGGAACTTTCTCTACTCTATACAATTATTTTCTTTGCTTAGTATCTACAGTTGGAGGCCTACAAGGCCTATAGGCCATGTCAAGTTTTTTTATTTTAAAAAATAGGCCAGACCTTGCCTACAAATAAACCCTTTAATAGGTCAGATAGGTTTAATTTTTTTTTATGTAGACTTGAGCCAAAAATATCAAAGCTCGATCTAGCCCAACCCATTTACACGCCCGTGTGGAATATATCTCTTGAGCATCGAAGGAAGAGGAGAGGGACATGTACTCGTGGGCTCGTGTACTGTTTGTCTGCACTCTAATTATATATTGAGGATAATCCTACATTCCTACTTACATTTTCAAGCGTGCACATACCTGTGCATCATTGGCCACGTGGAGCAATCAGATCGTAGCTGTATAAAAATTGTACAAAACCGTAATTAAAACGTTTGTTGTTTATAACATCAAAAATCAATTAAAATAAAAGATACCCATTATATATAAATTTTTTAAAATTTTAAATAATTTAATTTAATAATAAAACATTAATATTTGAAGCCCAATATAAAGTAATTTTGTAATTTTGTTTAGAGTGATAATTTTCAACACAATTCAGTAATATGGCATGAGAAATTTATATTTGGTCGATTCATTTTTAAATTCGTTTTATGTTTTGTGTCTTTTTAAACATAAAATTTTACAATTTATTCATATCATGTCAACGTGATATCGATGAAAGAAATATTCACTACATAGATTATTCATATCATATGTCATCTCATTTTGCATAATAAACAATATATTTTAATATTGACAGATTATTCATATTATGTTCAATTAATCCGCAAAATTAACAAAATATAAATTCATACCATATTGTGTTAATCTAAATTTTTATTCGTAATTTTAACTTACTAAACCTTAAAAATTTACAATTTTTTATTTAAACACTGTATATTACATATTAATGCAAATTATACATTTTTTTTAGGAAAATATTTCTTATATTGCAAGATAAAACATAAATAAAGTAAAATGAGATCCACTCTTTTTATCTCTTTCCTTCTCAATGAGTCCTGTATACAATATATTATCTTTTTTTTAATCATTCAAAACACAAATTTTATTTACACGTTACACCAAATTTCCATTTTTAAACTTTCTGACCACAATTATGAAGCGAAAAATCTATTATATTACAGTATATTGTGCCAATGGAAAGGAAATACACCATATTAGCATATATCGAAGAGAGAAAAATAAAATCAATTTTTATATTATGTCTTTACCGGTAAAACAAACCGCAGCTACTCTCTACTATGAAGAGGGTTGTGTTGTGTTGCAGCCACTAATTTGTCTTGTTGTCTATAAATGAATAGAGAGAGAGAGAGAGAGAGAGATTTTCTGGTCTCTTTTAAACACAGAGCTGAGACTCAGTGAAAGTGTGTGTCAGTGTGTGTGTGTATTCACTTGTTTAGTAGGGTTTATCTCTCTCTACATTATAGATAGCTCTGTTTTTTTTTTTTTTTTTTTTTTTTTTTTTCCACTTCAAAGTTCAAACTCATTTTCAGAGCTTGCTTTCAGAGCTCTAGAGAGAGAAAGATAAACTCTAGAGAGAGAAAGAAATAAAAACCGTTAATGGATGCTTACGCCTTGCACCTGGCCATGGCGGCACTCGTCGGAGCTTCCGCAGTTGCCATCTCCGCCTACTACATGCACCGCAAGACACTCTCCCAGCTCCTCGAGTTCGCCCGCGCCGTCGATCGTGACGGCGGCGGCGACGACGAGGAGGACATCGTCTTCTCCGGCGCTGCCGATTCGCCGAACCATTTCAAGAAGCGTTTTGGCCGACGAGCTAGGGGGAAGGGGAGAAGATATTACCGGCGAGGATCCGCGTCGCTGCCGGATGTCTCGGCGATCGCCGGCGGTATGGACGGTGATGAGAAGCTGAACGGTCCGGTCCCCGTCGAAGGGATTCCGGCCGGGTTGCCGCGGCTCCATGATGGTATGGCTATGAACATGATGAACTGAGTAATAGCATTAATGTCTAGTTTTCGGAGTGTTTATTGAAATTGAAGTTGCTATTATGGACTTGGATGGATTGTTGTGCTATAATCTGTCATATATGCGATTCGTGTGAATTTGTACAGTGGATTTTTGTTTTTTGTTTTTTGTATCTTTTGGATTTTGTGTGTATACTGGTGAGAGACTTGTTGTTTGAAGAGTGTGCTGCTAGAGTTTTCTCAATTTAAGTGCTAACTGGGGAAATTGGTTTTGATTCAAAAGGGATTGGAAAGTTTGATTCCATTGTTTTGGTGATATTGGCGTTGTACATGTTGATTTTATTTATCTTCTTCTTTTTTGGTTTTGTTGTATATATTGGTAAAGGGAAGATTACATGATAGAGGAAAGATTCTGGAACACTGATGTCAATTTATGTACTTATTTGATATGTAAAAAAAAAGAAAAAAGAAAAGGAGAATATATTCGGGTTTGAGGCGAGGTCCCATTATAGTTGAATAATTTTTTTTTGATGAATCCATACCTCTTTGCATCTTTACCTCTATTGCCAAGAAAATAAATTTTAAATTATTTAAGATTTTTTTTGGTCTGGCTAAAATGGAATGATTGACTGAGAAAGATGTCTGTACATTGGAAACCTGAGTGACATAATTAGTAGGAATTATTATTATTTTTCTTGGTACAGAGGGAATTATTACTTTATTAGCGGAGCGGGAACTAAACAATAAAATTGATTGCAATTATGTAGAACATGTAGTTTAAGATATCAGTACATAACCAAAGGTGCTTTTCCAAGAGAAAAATAGCTACATGCACTCAGTTTTCACCTAGCTTTAATAGGTATGTAATTTAAAATGATGCAGTGCTCTTTCTTGGAGAAAACTTTACGTTCGTGGAATAGGTTAATTTCCTTGCTTTCTTTTGGATCATCTCTGGAAAGGCTAAGCTAAGTCTTGTTCTAGCATCAAAATATGCCATTGGAGGAAGGGGGGAGGGGGAGGGAACAACATACTTCTTAGTTGCCACCCTGCTTGCTTTCTTCTCCACAGCCTCTTTTTGATGTACTACCCACATAAATACATGAACTATCTAGTTGAAAGTTAATCTCTGGGTGTTTTACTGATTAAGAAAATTATACAATTTTACAGCAAAATCTGTGCATTCTGGTACCCCAAAGAGAAATATTTTAAGACCAATATCTCCCAAGTCTCCTGTTGCAAGTGCTGCCTTTGAAAATGTTGAAGGGTCGGATGATGATGATAATGCTGAAGCAGATACTACATATCTACATACGAATGGAAATGTTGTAAGTCTGTTATGAACTTTTTGTTGTCGGCATTAAGTTTATCATTCATATGATGTATGGTATTCTATATATAAAAAAAGTTTTCTGTTCATAAGATAGGTCTCTCTGTCTCCCTCTCTCTCGCCCCTTGTTTCCTCCTAGCCCTTTCTCCCTAAGATTGGTGTTAGCCTGGATTTTCCCCATTGCTTTTTAGATGCACTTTGATTATTTTGGATGCAATGTTCCATATCCACTAAAGCCAGATGTTTGAATCATGTCTGGCGTTGAATTTGTAATAACCTGTATGCAGGGGCCAGATGGTAAAAACCCATATGAGACACTACAGGACCATGTTAATGCTAATGGAGAGCAGATCCCAGTTGCTGCTTCAAGTATAATCCGTTCTCATAGTGTTTCTGGTGACCTGCATGGTGTGCAGCCTGACCCAATTGCAGCTGATATTCTCAGGAAAGAGCCAGAGCAAGAAACTTTTGCTCGACTTAAAATTACTCCTATTGGTATGAAATTTTGTTCATTCTCTTGAATGCAATGATTTACTTTAAATGGGTTTTCTCATAGCTTGTGTAGAGTCCACTTTCTTTATCAAGTATTGCAGACTATAATTGCAATTTTGGAAAATCATTTGGCAAATTATAATTTGCGCTTTTTTGGTTTAGAGGCGCCATCATCTGATGAAGTGGAAGCCTATGTAGTTCTTCAAGATTGCCTTGAAATGAGAAAAAGATATGTGTTTAAAGAAGCAGTTGCTCCATGGGAGAAAGAAGTTATATCTGACCCCAGCACTCCAAAGCCTAACCCGGAGCCATTTTTTTACATCTCAGAAGGAAAGTCTGATGTGAGCTTTTATTTTCTAATTTCCATCTGTGAAGTCGAGGTTATCCAAATTTTATCCACTTTGTGACTAAATGAATGTTATTTCTGGGTGATGCAGCATTACTTTGAAATGCAAGATGGGGTTGTTCATGTATATCCAAACAAAACCTGTAAGTAATCCAGGAATTCGTTTGGTTTATCCTTTTGTAATTTTTATCGTAACCACTGGGACTCTTATGCAAATTTGCTTGTTATCTGCAGCAAAAGAAGAGCTTTTTCCTGTTGCAGATGCAACTACCTTTTTCACTGACCTCCATTATATACTTCGAATCATCGCAGCGGGGAATATAAGAACTTTATGCCATTATCGGCTTAATCTTCTAGAACAAGTAAATATATGTTTAAATTTCTGATTATAAGTAATAAAATGCCGCATATTCTTGTATTTCAATTACAGATGTGATCAGCTGGTTGTTTGACAATTTGTGTATGTATTCAGAAATTCAATCTTCATTTGATGCTAAATGCGGATATGGAATTTCTTGCTCAGAAGAGTGCTCCACATCGAGACTTCTACAATGTCAGGAAAGTTGATACACATGTGCACCACTCAGCATGCATGAACCAGAAACATCTTTTAAGGTTTATAAAGTCAAAGCTAAGGAAAGAGCCTGATGAGGTGATAATTTGGATCAGTTTATCACTGTGTTATCACTTGCTTTGCTGCATCTTTTTTTAAGCTAATGTTACTAGTATGAATTATTTTTCAAGATGAAATAATAATTGTGTATAACAACTTGGAATTATTTACATTTATTTTGTTTTGTATGTATAATAATGCCTTATATGTGAAGGTGTCAGATCACTGCAACTTACAATTGGAATAGGATATATTACAAAGTACTTGTAACATTCAGGATACAAAAGAATGTTTTGAAGGATTATCATTCAGGAAATATGTTATGCTCTTTTGATCACATATATTATGTGAATTATATTTTTGGAAGCTGATATACATTGCATATTGTTGAAACCTTGTATAATTCTAACTTTACTCAGGTTGTAATATTTCGAGATGGAACGTATTTGACCTTGAAAGAAGTTTTTGAGAGCCTGGATTTGAGTGGGTAATAAACTCCTCTGTACTTTCTACTATAATTATAATTTATAATTGAAATTGGTTGGTAATAAGTGACAAGAATATATGTATTTTCTTCATTTTTTTGTACAGATATGACCTCAATGTTGACCTTTTGGACGTTCATGCAGACAAGAGTACATTTCATCGCTTTGACAAATTCAATCTTAAGTACAATCCTTGCGGTCAAAGTAGGCTCAGGGAGATATTCCTGAAGCAGGATAATCTCATCCAAGGTAACTTTTTTAACTATTGTGCATTTGCTTTGGGTAGTTGTTTCTTTGAAAATTCTGCTTAAAAAAAGTTTTTTTCATATATATATAATATATATATATCATGATTACCTTTTCAAATACTATTTTTGATATGTTTATAATGGTTTGCATATATTGCAATAGAGTCTGAAAGGAAGAAACAAATACTTGTCAGGATCATCTAGTCTAATAGTTTTCTGCAATCTAAGGAATATAGTGTTTCGTTCCTTATCTATATGGTCTTCCATAGTGTTGAGATATATAAAACAATTAATGTAGCCTCACCCAATAGCTTAAGCTTTTGGGTTGAATTGGTTCTTTACATGGTATCAGAGCCTCGGTGTATCGGGTTCGATCCTCACCGCCCCCCACTTTCTTTCTAGTGGAATTTCTTTCTTCGCACAGGTAGGTAGGCCTGTGTATTGTCCACCCTTAGTGGGCTCTCGTGTGAGGGGACGTGTTGAGATATATAAAACCATTAATGTAGCCTTACCCAACAGCTTAAGCTTTTGGGTTGAATTAGTTCTTTACATGGTATCAGAGCCTCGTGTCCCGGGTTCGATCCTCGCCGCCCCCCACAAGAAAGTGGAATTTCTTTGTTCGCACAGGTAGGTGGGCCTGTGTATCGTCCACCCTTCAAGCCCATTAGGCACTCGTGTGAGGGGACGTGTTGAGATATATAAAACTATTAATGTAGCCTCACCCAATAGCTTAAGCTTTTGGGTTGAATTGGTTCTTTACACATAGTAATTTGTAAGGGCATATTTTGGCTGTTAAAGAGAAAAAGAGGTTGGACACCTGGAACCTGCAGTTATTTGTACCGTCATGTTATAATAAAAACTAAACATTGTTTTGCATAAGGTGGATGCACCTCATTTCAGTGTTGTGCAGGATTATATCATTAATTTGTTTTGGAAATGAATTGCCTGGGGTTATTAAAATGGTAAAATTTGGGTCTTTAATTAATGATGGATTATTCTTGAAGGAGGGTTAGATTACTTAAATTGTATATAATTCATAAGGTATGAGTTTTGAATTTGAAATGGCCAGTCAGCCTCTGAGCAGTTTTAGGGTTACATTTTTCAAAAGCAACTGCCACCTGTGGGTAAATAAAGTAGTGGAAGAAGCAACAAAGAAACGGACTTACAAACGAATGTCAAAATTTCTCAGAATTCATTTGGAAGATTACTGTTGTGTTAATTATCTTCAAGATCAAAACATCTTTTACTGACATGAGCTCATACTATTGTGTTGCAATGAATAGGTCGTTTCCTTGCTGAACTAACAAAGCAAGTGTTTTCTGATCTTTCTGCCAGTAAATATCAGGTGCTTTCCTGAATCCTTGCATATATTTTTCCTATTATGTTAGAATATATAAAATTGTAATAAGACACTTTAAAATTTTTGTGTTGGCCTCTCAATTTGCACTTCTTAGCTTCAGGCAGTAACAATCAGCATGGACTGGTTTGCTACTTGCTATTTTATGTATGTTAATGCTTCAATTTTTCCCTTGCCTTTAGCATGTCTAGTTCTTTCTTTTCTACTCAAGTGGCATTTAAATCCCTACGTGAGGATTATATTTTTAATAATTTTTCATTCATATTTTTAACCTTCGTAAAACTGATAGTAATATGTCTTTCAAATATGTCTTTCTTTCTTTTGTTTTTACGACTGGAAAGTAATAGGATTTGACATTCATGCGTGCTATTTACAATAATTTCCCATTACTAGATAGTTGCTTCTGTATGCTATTACTTATTCCCTTCTGAAGTGGCCCTGGATGTCTGTTAACTTCTTTCCATACATATTTGGTTCACAGATGGCCGAGTATAGAATATCAATATATGGTAGGAAGCAAAGTGAGTGGGATCAACTAGCTAGTTGGATAGTGAATAATGAGTTGTACAGTGAGAATGTTGTTTGGCTGATTCAGGTATTCTCTAGTTATTTGCTTTTCAATTTCACTTAGTATTCATGCATAAATAAATCATTTGTCCATTATTCTCTCCAATCTCCATAATTTTGACGATGTCCCAAGTTTCGGCATCATAATTTATACATTTTAGTTCTAATTTAGTTCAGGACCTTTTTGGGTAAATGTTTCTCCAAGTCTATAACTTATTCTTTTTGATGTTCCCCTTAGAATTGCTAAAGATCTAGTAGTATTTGGGGGGAACTTTTCCATTTCTGGCTTAGTTAGCTGAAGAGATTGTGAAGTGTTGGTTGTTGATTTTAGTTTTGTCTCGCAGCTTCCAAGGTTGTACAATGTGTACAAAGATATGGGAATTGTGACCTCATTCCAGAACATCCTTGACAATATCTTTATTCCACTTTTTGAGGTTACTGTGGACCCTGATTCACATCCTCAGCTACATGTTTTCTTGAAACAGGTATGGTACAATTTCATTTACTTTTTATTTTGTAGGGGACTAGGAGTTTCTGGTTAATGGTATTGACCATGCTGATGGTAGGATTTTAGTCTGGCTTATACATTTATTAAACAAGTAAAGGAGTGTAAATGACTACAAATATGCATTGCACAAATCGACTTAGGTTCTGGCCTTGCTTAGTTGTTTCAAGATCTTGAGGTCCTCCCTTCCTGCCACAACAAAAAATAAAAAATGATTTAACACTCTACATATTTGATCAATCACATTTTTTTGTTTTGTGCTCTTGAGAAATATAATATTCATTGCCTCATTATTTATTTTTGTTTTTATATTTTTTAGGTTGTTGGGTTGGATTTGGTAGATGATGAAAGCAAACCTGAAAGACGGCCAACAAAACACATGCCTACTCCGACTCAATGGACTAACGTATTCAATCCGGCATTTTCATACTATGTCTATTACTGTTATGCAAATCTTTACACCTTGAACAAGGTGTGTAACTGTTTCTTCAAAACAGATTTATACTTGTAAGTTAATTTTTGGGTAGCTATTCACTCCATCACCTAGGAAGACAACACTCTTAGCTGATAAGGGGGAAAACAAAAGGAAAAGTAATGAGGGTGGGTCTCTTCTTAGCATATACCATATTGCGTAAGTTGAATACTTCTCTATCAAGTTAGTATTAAAGGCTCTCACTTTATATTTTATTCGTTGCTTGCTTCTTTCCTCAATCAACCATATATCCCCATAATTATGTATACCAAGATTCTCTGCTTCTAATTTCATTACTAGAATCTGAATATGTTGACACACCAAAGTTTGACCTAGTAAAAATATTTCTCAGCTTCGCGAATCAAAGGGAATGACAACAATCAAATTCCGTCCACATTCTGGAGAGGTACTTATTGGAGTATATTTTCTTTGTTTGGATATTTGCTTTTTGTTGTATGGGTACCTGATGCATCATATTGTATTCAGGCCGGTGATATCGACCACCTTGCTGCAACCTTTCTTACGGCTCATAACATTGCACATGGAATCAATTTGAGAAAATCTCCTGTGCTTCAATATTTGTATTATCTAGCTCAGGTATGGTCCATTTTTAAACTGATTGCTAAATTATGATATTTGCAGTGATTAATTGGTTTTGGAATATTTGTTATCAGATTGGGCTGGCAATGTCTCCTCTTAGCAATAACTCCCTATTCTTAGATTACCATCGGAACCCTTTGCCAATGTTCTTCTTAAGGGGTTTGAATGTTTCACTTTCTACTGATGATCCTCTCCAAATCCACTTAACAAAGGAACCATTGGTCGAAGAATATAGCATTGCTGCTGCTGTAAGATCTCTCCCTCTCCCTCCCTCTCTCTCTCTCTCAATGTGGCATATTAACAGACAATACTGACATTCAGGACACTTCTTCCTCTATAGGTATGGAAGTTGAGCTCATGTGATTTATGTGAGATTGCCCGTAATTCAGTTTATCAGTCGGGTTTCTCACATGCCTTAAAGGTAAACTTATCTTGACTTTGCTCTATTAGTGTATAAGGATAGGGATATTTACATTAGTGTATAAGGATAGGGATATTTCTGTAAATATCCCTATCCTTATACACTAATATGCTCCTATGGATGAAAATCCTCCACCCCAAGGCATAACTTTTTTTCCCTCCAAAGATACCCACAAACCCACTGGGGGGAGTGGGTTTGGTAGCATTTTTTTTCAAGAATCTAGGATTTTGTGGCAGTAAATTTATGTACTGCCCATGCAACGTTCTGGTATTTATAAAATTGAACGTGAACAGTTATTCAGTTATATTCACAATTGTTCATCAAGGTAGCACCTGTCCTTGAAATGGTAGAAGTCATAAAGCTAAGAAATTTTCTTCATGAATGTTAGCTATGTAAAATTTCACCAAAAGTAGCGTGGGGGTGTCACCCAAGTATGAGTGACATGTACAACTTAAGAAGCAAAAAATAGAAAGTGCCACATATTGGCCAAGAGCTGTTGTAGACGAGCATGACCCAATATGCAATATCAATATTTCATACCATTATCATGGTGCACTGTGTCCATTCCTATTCATTATTTCTTATTTGAGATTAAAAATGGTATATTTAAACAATTGTTTGTATCAAGAAAATAGAAAAAGAAAATACTTGTCTGCAACCTAGTTATTTATATTTGGGAGAGAATGTGGATTACTAAACTATACTTGTAACTGTGAAGTATTTATTTACAATTTTAAGTTTTTGTTAAAATGATGAAACTGAAAATAGTAGGGGCAGAATCTAAACTGGAAAATTACTAGAATCATGTTTACTTCGTTTATAGTTTTGAGATAATATATATTGATGTAATAGTGATGATCCTAGAGGTTTATGTAGATGCAATTTTTTGTATAAAAATTAAAAATAAATGGATGCAATTTTCTTTTATATATCTTGTACTCAACTGATCTGTTTTTCTTGTGTCAGTCACATTGGATTGGAAAGGAATATTACCAGAGAGGGCCAAATGGAAATGACATTCACAAAACAAATGTTCCTCACATCCGGTTGGAATTCCGAGACACGGTACGTGATCGATAAATGGTTAAATTAGCATATGTAGCTTGTTCTCTGTTTCAGATTTTTCACATGATTCTGAATTTAATAATTTGCACTAGATTCTTTTTTGTATTTAGTTGGAATGTGCTATATAAACAAATTGGGGTTAATGCTTGCCTCACTTTCAAATATTAACTGTTTGGCATATTTCAGTGATTTATGATACTTAGCCCTAAAGGTCTCAATTATTTCTGCTATTTAAAACATCAATGAGCATGGCGAACCAATAATTCAGATGCATTGTAATTTTTTTGTTGATACTTGTATCAATGTTGTTAAAACGTAGAGTCTACGCCGAAACGGTAGGGGTGAGCAAAAACATAAAAACTTGAAACCTAAACGAAATGTAAGAGTTAACTACATACCCAAACAAATAAAATATCCAACATATAACCAAAACACACCAATACTTAAGTCCAAACACTAAGGAAATAAAAATTAATTTTGAACTTAGTCATCATAAATACATACTAAAATCAAAATACCAAGGCAATAAAATTATTAAAGAGATCAACATCTCTAATCTAAGTCATTGGATCTGTAAATAAATATCTACAAAGCAGCGACTGAAATCAAAATACCAAGGCAATAAAATTATTAAAGAGATCAACATCTCTAATCTAAGTCATTGGAGTCTAAGTCATTGGATCTGTAAATAAATATCTACAAAGCAGCGACTGAAAGGAGAAGCTTTTCAGAAAAAATATCCAGAAAAAATAAAGAACAAGAGACCAGGAAAAAACAAGCTCAGAAACGATCCAAAAAAAATAAAGAACAAGAGACCAGAAAAAATAAAGAACAAGAGACCAAGAACAAGAAACGATCCAAAAAAAAAATGAGGTAAGAAGACTAGGAGAGAAACGAGATCAGAATAGGAAAAAAAAAAAAATAGGAAAAAGAAGAAGATTAAAGACCGAATCTGATCCAAAAAAAAAAGTATCCTTACTTGAGTCTTGATCAGAAAATAGCTGCTGTCTTCTTGATTTGTCCGAAGTCCGAATCTGATTAAAGACCACCGTCCACCGCTTGCGACTTGCGAAGGAGACTTGGAGAGAGTAGACAGAAGATCTAAACGAAGAGACCCAACCCAATACAATCGGGTATTAATAATATATTTTAAAACAAAAAATGTCATTATTTTATTTTATAGGACAAAACAGAAATAGACCCATGCTGAGAACACACTCAGTTCGGCCCAAATTTCGTTTTTTTTTTGAATACTGAGTCAACTCGGTAAACTCGCCGAGTCAACCGAGTTTACCGAGTTGACTCGCCGTTTCAACCGTTTCAACTCATTTTACTTTTTAACACGTTTTTTAGGCGAAAAACATAGAATCGTACCGTTTCGGCGCTACGTTTTAACAACACTGACTTATATGCAATATTTTCCTGACCATGTGATCGATTGAAGCGAAGTGGTATCTCTTAGTATGATTGCTATGCTTGCAGATTTGGAGAGAGGAGATGCGAGAGGTTTATTTGGGCAGAGCCATCATTCCTGAAGAAGTAGACTAATAATATGCCAGTGGCATCCGTACTTTAAAATCGGAGGCTGTGAAACAGGTTATATCTTCTTGGTTTCTTTTCTTCCTGTATTGAGTGTCTGCTCGTGGTTTTAGGATTGGCATTTGGCTATTTCTCACTTCCACAATAAGTGATTGAACCTGGTTGAAAGTGAACTCTACACACCCACCAAGCATCAAGCATGGCATCTGAGAACACAATTTAATGGTTATGCTTGGTACACATAATACTAAGGCTGAAGACATTACAAGTTTGGTTCGAGGATAAGGACCTAATACATAGTATATATCCCCCGTGATCGATGAGCTTGAGCATGATCAAGGCTTATGACTGCAAAGATTTGGGGTAGATGTAAAATGAGTTGGGTTAGCAATAATTGCGTGGGCGCTTGGCGGAAATGATACCTGTTGCAGTAAAAACTATACAATAATATAATCCATACCCTTCAAAGAGAGAAAAACTGGCTCTCAAATTTTGATTCCCATTATCTATAGGTGCTCTTTCACTGGAAGATGGAGAGCCTCAGTTTTGGCATGCATGTTTGACAATGTAATGGCATAGATAGATGGAGTGTGAGAGTTAAGATGATATTGAACAATGCATTTAATGTAACAATGTGCTTGATTTCATATTTATCTTGTAAAATCATATTTTATGGATCTTCTGTAATAGAGCCTTATTGGATTTCATGATTGGAAACCAATGACAGAGTTGAGGCAACTTGCAACAGATTTTTTGAAGTTTCCTGCTACAAATGGCGACAACTTTAGCCTATGATGCTAGATCTGGCACCTACATATCCTAATGTAATTTTATGCAGCTGGGAATGGATCTTTTTATCTCACTTGACCTTGTGTGAAATGATGTCAGTTGTTCATAGACGAATCAATTATTAGACAGAAGGCATTAGCATAGAGAACCAGAAAAGAATATCTGTTGATTTATGAATGGGAAATAGTAATTGTTGATTTGTTTGTAAACAGCTAGAATCATTTTACATGAATTCATGACATGAAATGACTCATTCTTGTGTTGTTAAGTATATTAAAATAAGAAAAGGATTTAGCTGGCGTAGTTGGAGCGTACGTAACTGTTATTGATATTGTACTAAACTATTGTTTTAGTTACCTGTTTACCCTTTTGTCTTGTAATTTTGTTTCCATTTTAGTTGCGAAGTTGTTTTAACTTCTATAAGTTATTTCAAATTTCTTTAGTTGATTTTTTTTTTATCATTTCTTCAGTTAGCTAGGCTTTAGCTAATTTTAGATGGTCCCTCAATTTGTAACTAGCCCACGTTTAAACCAATGTACAGAAAATTCATGCAGATTGCAGATTACCAATGGAGAGATCAACATTCCAAAAGGTCATGCGTCCAATGAAAGGAAGAAAACCGGTCAAACTCATTTACTCTTCTCTGTAGAAAGATCGTATTTTGATATTTCACGCCGATAAATTAACAATAAACGACACTACTGATAAATTCAATTCAGGATGATACTATATCAGATAAAATTATGGCAAATGTAGACCATGGCAATTGTAATGCCGTTATATCTTAAAATCAACACAAGTAACAATATTATCCCCAATTATTTATTTAAAAAATAAAAATAAAAAATTAATTGTTGAAACAATGACACCAATTAAGTTGCCTTTTAAAAAACTGTCATTTCTCCAGAATCACCTAAAGAAGGAACTATCCTTCAGAAGTATATTCAGACTTGCTGGTCAAGTTTCATACCATTAAGCCAAAACTCAAATGGCAATTTCTTTCCCACAAGGAAGAAACAGTTGTGGAGGTTACTTCTTATACTGCTTTATCTCTTTAATTACTCCATCAGCAAGTGAGTCAACATCATTGTTCTTGCCGAAAAACTTTACAAAGTCCATGTCAGGCCCCATCAAGTATCTGGCAAGAATTACCATATTATCATATTAGTATTCATTATTCTATTCAACAGGAATCATCCTAAGTGAGAGCTATATAGTCCTGCAGATGCAACTGCACATACAATTTACATATGCACAGCTAACAGCGAAAACACAAGCATAATCAGAAAGAGATTCAATGGATAGGGGTAACCAGAAAAATGATATTATCTGCATATGTGTGCATGCATGTCTACATAATACTCATCATAATGGGTATTACGGACGTTAATTCCATAATCATTACTCTCCTCTTTCAAAGGAAATATTTCAAAGATTAGGTCATTCACAAATTTCATTTTCATTGATCAAGTTCCATATTCAAAGACGGACTGCTAGCATACAGCACCAAGAGCAATTGGTGGTGTGAAACAGAGTGTAGTATATATGAAGCAGAAACAAAATTACATACATAACTATGGAGTGATCAACAAGATAATCTGAGTCTTCCTCTGCTGTCTTCATGTAATAAACACGATACGCACGAGCAACACTCTTTATCTCATCTGGGCTACCAGTTAATCCAATTAGCTTTGGATGAAATTCTGAAAAATACAAATTAACACAATGACTTCAGAATCTAGCAACCAACACGTATGTACATATCCCAATAGATAAAGGCGTAATTTGAAAGGTATGAGACAAGCACCTTTGACATATTCGCCCACTTGTTCAACAGTATCCCTCTCAGGATCAACAGAGATAAAAACTGGGACAGTTTCAATTCCAGCTTTATTCTCTGCAGGGAACCAAAAGAGACATGGACATGATTACCATTAATACATTATCACAAGATCAAAAGTTAAGATTAAAAAACTGTAATGTGCTTTCTCTAGTGGTCTTTAAATCTTGACAACTCATGCACGATACTATGGTCAAAAATCACTCTTATTACTCTCGTAATAAACTAAGTCACTCACTATACACACCCTTACATGTATAGGTGTTGCCATAGTTGCTTGGGACTAGGGGGGAAAAAAGGGGTCCTCCACAGGTTAAATCAAATTTCCAATAAAGCACTTGAAACTTCAATTTTATCATTATTGCCATCGAACCTCACCCCCAGACATGTACCTGTTATGACTAGCATTCGCGAGAGGGGTCAGCCCTCTACTTGGAGAGTCTATTCTAGAAGGAAAAAGAAAGGAAAAAGAATGTACCAATGAGTTAGTTACAAACTTACTTAGGGAGCAATGTGTATAAATAGTGAGGGGAACAATTGTAAAGGTACTTAGTGAATTTGTTAGTGAGAAATAAGGCTGAGGTGAGGCTCAGTTTCGGGGAACCTTTCCCTGGTAGGAGGCTAAACTCTTGTACTTCTTTTTGTGTTCTTGATCAATAAAGATTCCCAGAATATTTTCTTCTCTTCTGTTCCCTTTTCTTTTAGTCAGAGCCTAACAAGTTGGTCCGACCTGCCGGATCATGAGAAAGGAAGAGATGGCTTCGTTGGAAGAGCGTCTGGAGGCTCTCGAAAAGGTGGTAGAAAGCGTCCGGAGAGAAACCAGCGACACCAACCGCAGATTGGATTCTTGGGACCGAAAGCTTGATGGGATTGATGAATTGAAACAGCTGGTCACAAAGATGGCGATCAAGAATGCAGGGGATGCGTCCGACGACTTTACAAACAGTGAAGGTGACGGAAGCAATTCCAGCATGACCCTCAAATGTCCATGGGCAACCAAGGTCAAATGCCCCTGTTTTGAAGGGGCTGACCCCTCTCGCGAATGCTAGTCGTAACAGTAGCTCTCATGGAATAAGTTGATTGACTACTATAATGAGAAATAGAGCATATCTTACTCTGAAAAGTATGAAACTCAGCTAGTCATACACCACAAAATCACCTATAGAAACTTACTTATTTTATCAACTGCAGCTGCTAACTTCTGTAGTTCATCTGGACAAATATCAGGGCAGTGAGTAAAGCCAAAATACATCAATGTCCATTTTCCCAAAAAGTCCTTTTCAGTTACATATTTCCCATGATGGTTGATAAGGTGAAATGGACCCCCAATCGCAGCTTTTCCCGCAGAAGGTCCCTGCTTAACTGCCTCTGAAGCACTATGTATGTCTACAGCAATAAAAGTTGAATCAATAAAAGGAAGAAGAAAATATCCATGATATTCAGAGTCAGATTGAAATGCAACAGGAAATGGAGCTATTAGATCTGATCTGATTTGTTTTCATGCTACACCTAAGAAACAAAGATGTGGCATGATATATCCTGTACACAAAACTTCATCTTGGAACTAGATTTGACCCTACTAAGATTCCATAAAATCCACAAGGACACATGCCATAAATTTTATAAGAATCCCTTAAAAAATCATATGATAATATAAGCAAATAACAATTCAGTTCAAATTTAAAACCCGAAAAAACATGTGATTAACAGAGACATATTCACATACGACCTCCACATGCATAACCACAAAATACTCAACTCACCATAGTAATCTACCTTCAATATGTCGTTTCTTTTCCCAGTCATAGTAGAATACTAATCCAGCTCCAGTGAGAACCAGCAAAAGAAAGCTCAACCAAGAAACAGGCTGCAAGACACAAAGTAAAATCAGCTCATAAGTCTAACTCCATCATTTAAAACTCACATTAACTGAAAATGCTCAAGGAAGAAGAACTACATCGCTACAATAACTTTAGATACACACCCCTCCACGAACAGGTTTCCCATCATCACTTTTCTGATCATTTTCCCCTCCAGACTCTTTTCCTTGACCAGAACCATCTTTTGCAGAGTTATCTGACGCTGCTTTTTCTTGATTAACACCAACAGCAGCAGTACTAGATAGAAACCTCTGACACAACATCAAAGACCCAGTACCATAACCTTGATCCCCAACCTATAAATTCAATAGAAAGTAACATACAATGAAAATTGGAACTAACCCAATTGAAATTAAAGAAGAATAACAATAATTAGAGTTAAAGCAATGAACTTTACATTCATATTGCAGCTAAAACGAATAAAAAAATGATTTTTTTTTTTTTTGAGGGGGTAAATAATAATGAAAGAAAAGAAAACTTAACCAGGTGAGGGTGATGGAGTGGTTGGGATGAAAGATGAAGATGATGGGAGAATGGTGGTGAAAGCGTGATGGGTCTGCCATAGCGAAGAAGGTGAGAGCAGAAAACGCGAGTAGCATAGCGAAACTGGTTGGTCTTGCTGCATACGATGGACGCCATTAGATGAAAACTAAGTGTTCAAAAGTTTAACCTTAAACCTTGGAGGACCAATGATAAGGGTTTTATGGTTGGAAGACCAATTACATACGATTAACCAACAAAAAAAATAAAAAAATATTAACCAAAATAAAATAAAAAAATTTGTACTTTATCAGTAGGTATAAAAATGGATACATGTTATTATATTTCTTTTTTATTCCTACCTTACTTATTACTTTCTAACATTACTAGATCAAAATTTTAAGAAGAGTGAAAAATGATAAAGATTAATTGAAATTATGATATAACGATATTGAAAAGTGATAAGTAAGGTATGCATGAAATAAAGGTAGTTACAATAATTTATTCCATAAAAATGATATACAAGTTTTAATGCATAAATATCAATCTTCTAATTGAATGATATTTGTTGGTTGAATTAAAATTTTATAACTGTTGAAGCTTTTTTTTTTAAAAAAATATTTTATGGTTTTTTAAAATATTTTATTATAATTTCTACATCATTTATTTATTTTAATTTAGTCCTTATATTTTTTTTTATTAAATCAATCTCCGTGTTTATGTACGTTTCAAAAATATTCTTTTGTGGTTAATTTTTTTTCTTATAACACACGAGAACATTATCATTTAGTTAACCTATTTTTTTTTAATTACAGAAATATTAAGCTTAAAGGGCATATCATGAAGTTATGGGAAATTATTGAAAATCGTTTGAGAAGAGAGAGCAATATTTTTGTAAGTCAATTTGGATTTATGTTAGAAATATGTAGTACTATGGAGACCATATTTTTTATTCGACAACTAATAGAAAGATATCCAAAAAAATAAGGATTTACATACTGTGTTATAGATATTGAGAATGCATATGATATGGTTCCAAGAAAGGTTCTATGATGGGTTTTTGAGAAGAAAAAAGTATTATCAAGTATGTAAATGCAATCAAAGATATGTATGATGGTGCTACTATAAGTGTAAAGGCTTCTAATGGAACATCAAGCTATTTTTCTAGCATGGTAGGTGTACACCAAGGCTCTGCTTTGAGTTCTTATCTTTTTGCTCTAGCTATGGATGAACTAATAAAAGATATTCAATATGAAGTGCCATGGTGTATGCTATATGTAGATGATATTGTGCTTATTGATGAGATTAAGGTTCATGTTAAAAAAAGCTAGAATTGTGGAGAAGCATATTGAAGTCTAAAAGATTTATGCTAAGTCAGAGCAACATTGAGTATATGAATTGTGAGTTTACTTCGACAAGAGATGGAGATCAAGATTCCGTGCATTTACTTACACAAGACGTACTCAAGAAAGTATTGGAATTAATTTTTAAATTAATTATTTTTATGAATAAGAAGTTTGATTATAAAAGATGTGTCATTTCGTCGCTGAACGAATGTGTTATTCCATCCTTGAAGAGTGTCTTTTAAATTGTGACCCTACATTTTATATAAACAAATAAAGAACCAGGTTTTTTAGGATGAGTTTCTTTTTCCTATTGGTTTATACATATTCTTTGCATTTGCATTATTCTAATTTAGTGCGATTAGTCAGAAATATGTTGAGTTCGATAGAACTATTCAATGTGGAAGTGCCATCACAAGAATACAGGTAATCCGTTCTATTTAAAGAGGCAATTGTTCACTATTTTGGGCACCATAAAAAGGGCAAAATTGTCTTAAGAACACAAAATCTAATACTAGAGGATTTTCTCTTGCTGCATTCATATATTTTCGTATGGTACTCTTTAACTTAGTATTATTTCTTTTTGGTTTCTTGCGTGCACTGCATGAAACTTCATGTGTTATTGAATCACTTACTTAAACACAGATTATTCTCTCAATGATTTTAACATATTTTTCTTACAATTTTAAGACAATTTTGGTATATATTTGACTTTTGAAAAAAAAGAAAAATTGTGAATGTAATTTAAAAACGCAATTGAATGTTATTTTAATTTTTGGTTGCACTGAAAATCGTGTTTTTCAAGTTATGCTTTTACTATATGAAGCATAGTTTATCAATTTTACATTCCCCTTATGATTGCAATTGAAGAAGGATGACATTTTTATTTGTTTGACTGTTAATGAGATGTTACAACGGACGTGATTCACATAATGTCCAGTAAAATAGCATTTTTTTTTAGAAAAAAAATGAGATGAGAGGTGAATAATTGTGTGTGTTCATTTGATATGCACATAAAGTAGTGCTTACTGATTTCATGGGTAAAAGTCTGAGATCTGGGATACTAGAAACATACTCAAGACCATGCTTTGCATTACTCGAAGTATCCTATTGTATTGAAGGACATTGTGATGCATATTGGAACTCCGACTCTAGTGACACCAAGTCCACAAGTGGGTATGTGTACACACTTGGTGGGGGTGTTGTGTCTTGAAAATTATCCAAGTAGATGTATTACAAGCTCGACCATCGAAGAAAAAAAAAATTGCCTTGGATAGAGTCGGTGGGGTAGCCAAGTGGCTTTTTAACTTCCTTGAGAGTATTCCAAATTGGCTAAAATCAGTGATTGCTATGTGCATCCACTGTGATAGTAAGGAAGCAGTCATAATTGAAAGGAGTGTTATGTATAATGGTAAATCTCGATATATATTAGAGACATGATCCCGTGAGGAAATTACTCTCTAGTGGTATTATTACGGATCCGTTAACTAAAAGGTTTGACTAAAGAGTTAAAGGGAAATTTGTCTAAAGGAATGAGTGTAAAGGGCATTAAAATATTGATCATTGTGGACACTCTACCTAGAAGAATGGAAATAACACGAACTAAGTTTAAAGAGAAAATCAAGTGATGATTGAAGAATAAGCACTATGGATATTTTCAAAACTCATACTCATTCCTAGTCGAGGCAGTGCATAAGTAAAGGATAAATGAGTAGGCTTTTAATGATTTCTGATTCTGATATGTTCATACAGTGTATGTTGGGATGCACTGCCAAAAATTACCTATGTTGGTGTGAAGTGAGAGCGGCTTCTATGAGAATATTGTAAGGCCGTATTCTCTAACGTACCCGCAGAACCAGGAAGTGTTCAAGGCCAAAATGGACACAAATAAAGGACCAACCATGTCCGAGGAACAATTGTGTGTTTTCTATTGTCTTGGTTTACATGCAAGGTCGATGGTTACAAGGCATCACGTCCACCGATTGATTGAGTAGATTCGATAGGTCTGACTAGGGATGGTTATAAGGCATTGCATCCATCGATCTCGATGCATTTATTTCTCATTGATCAATAGCACATTGCATTTGAGTCTCATATGCATACAGTTGTGTTTATGAAGGTTGAACTTCTTATTCATGAGGGGAATTGTTGGAATTAATTTTTAAATTAATTACTTTTATGAATAAGAAGTTTGATTTGAAATGATGTGTCATTTCGTTGATAAACGAATGTGTTGTTTCATCCTTGAATGAGTATCTTTTAAATTGTGACCCTACGTTTTCTATAAATAAATACATAATCAAGTTTTTTAGGATGAGTTGTTTTTTCTATTAGTTTCTGCACATTCTTTGCATTTGCATTCTTCTACTCTAGTGCGATTGGTCGACATAGGTTGAGTTCGATAAGGCTATTCAATTTGGAAGTGCCGCCACAAGAATTGAGGTAATCCGTTCTATCTTGGGAGACAATTGCCCACGAATTTTAGGCACTATAGAGAGGGTAAAATTGTCTTAAGGATACAATGTCTAGCATTGCGCTCAGATTTCCCTAGTTGCATTAATATATTTTTGTATGGTACACTTTAACTTAATATTATTTCTTTTTGGTTTCTTGTTAGTATTATTCCTTTTTGGTTTCTTGTGTGCACTGCATGAAACTTCATGTGTTATTGAATCAATTTCGTAAACACAGATTATCATCTCAACGATTTTAACATTATTTTTTCTAATAGAAAGATGCTTTCAAATATATGAGATATATTTAGCAAAAGGGTGGAGAGATTGATGAAGATGTAAATTATATAACCAGAGCACATTGGATGAAATGACGTAGTGCATCCGAATTTTTTGTGACTGCAAGATTCCTCTTAGGCTAAAATAAAAGTTTTATAGAACGATAGTAAGGCTTGCAATATTATATGGAGTTGAATGTTGGCTAGCATATATGCAACATGAGCATAAAACCTTCATATTTTACGCCACGAAGAGGATTAGTCTCATCCAAATAGGTAAGGTTACCCCTAGGAAAAAAAAGGGTGAATCTGTGGTAATAAAAATGATGGATAAAATAAGAAATGAAGATATTCAACGAAAGATAAGAGTAGTACTGGTGGTTGAAAAGATGAGAGAACATATATTGAGGTGGTTTGGACACCTAAAAACAAAAGTTTGTTATTAAGAGCTTACACAAAGAGCGGAAGAGGCTGACCAAAATTTACTTAGGGGAAGGTAATAAAATAAAGCTTAATAGTTATATATATATTTATTTATTTATTGCCGTATGATATGTCTTAGGAGTTATGATGGATTGAAGGAAAGTTATTTGTATTATGAAGGGTTAGACCCGTTTTTATTCCTATATTTCATTTATTCCTATATTTCATACGCTTTTTTTAGTCATTTCCCCTTTATATCTCCATTTTTTTTAGAGTAAATACATTTTTTAGTCTCTAACAAAAAATACGGTCCCCACTTTAGTCCCTTACAAAAATAAATTAGTCAGTTAGTCCCTAACAAATTCAAAGTGGACCCATTTAGTTGAAATCGTGGTCCCTCACAAATTCAAAAAAGACCCATATTAGTCCCTCAAAAAGACTAAAATGGGTCCACCTTGAATTTGTTAGGGACTAACTGACTAATTTATTTTTGTAAGGGACTAAAGTGGGGTCCGTGTTTTTTGTTAGGGATCAAAAAATGTCTTTACTCTTTTTTTTTTACCTTTCTTTTTGTTTTCTTTTCTTCTTTGATTGATTGATTTATTTCCACTTATTTTTTTTATATTTTTATTTTACTTTTTTCTTTAATGTATTTTTCTCATTTTATTTATTTTTATTTTATAATTATTTATTATTGTTTTTAGTTTCTAGTGTTATGTCTAACTTTAATTTTATTCTTATTTTTTCTTAATCTTTTCATATTTTATATTTGAATTCATGTGATACCGGTCCCAATTAATTTGGGATAAAAATATTATTGATGTTGACGTTAATCTATGTTTTTATTTTTTTTAAGTAGGTATTCTTTTATGCATTTGTCTTACTAAAGTAAGGTATATGCTTTAAAGAATGAAATGAAAAGAAAATCAATTTTTAGAAATATAATAGAAATATATGTATGTATATACATAAATTATGAAATTCTTGAAATTTATTATGTTAACTTTTCAATCAATGATTATAAATAGGAAAAATATTTGTCTTTTTAAAGGATGGTCATTTTAGTTAAAACTAGTGTTTTTTATTTAAAATTTAAATTAAAAAAAAATCTCTCACTTTCTCCCTCATGATTTTTATTGATCTATCTCTTTTTCTCAGTTAAAATGACACAATTTTATATTTTTTAAAAGAATAAACACTAATATCTAAATAAATTTACACTTTATTCTCTAAAATATTACTTCACTTTAAAAAGCAAAATTCTGCAAAATTGACTTGTGAGTAAGTTATATTTTCTTCTTTTGTTCAAATACCAAAATGTTGGCTTTTAGCATTTAAAATAGGTAATTTTCAGAAGAGTTTTTTACTTCTTACTTCCTACTTTTTCTTTCAAATAAATTCCTGACATATTCCCATGTAGTAATTTTTCATTTTTTATGGACGATGATAGTATCCAATTAATGTTTTTAACAACACGAACTTTATAATAATTCCCATTTTATTTACATAAGGATAAAACTCTAAAGAAAAGTTTTAAATATATTCGTGGTGTTATTTTTTTAATTAAAGTATAACATGAGCACTTTTTTTTTTCTCCGATCTTAATGACACCTCGACACCTCTTTTAATGCTGTCATGAGAAATACTTACATAAACTATTAACATACTATTAATTAATGGTTCAGTATTTCTTTTTATAATTAAGTTCTTATAATTATGTGAATTTTTTTTAATAATTCTTATAAACCTTGTGAAAATAAGCTAATGTTGTGGTTCGTTTGAAATTCTTTTGAAGTCCGTTAATTTAATGATTCCATTTGTAATAAGCGGGTGTAAATGAATTAGGCTGGGTTAGACTTTGGCTTAAATAGGTTAAACTTGTGTAAAAAATATTAGGTATGATCTGGCCTATTGGCCCGTGTATGCTCCCAATTACAAGTTTGACCTGACCTATATTCAAAAAATAAAAGCCTTGGCCTAGGCCTGTTAGCCTGTTTAAGCCTTTTAAACATTCAACAATTAAATGAATAACTAAAATAATATTATTTTAGTTATTCAAAATTATTAAATAATAATTTTATTTATTATATTTTAAATAAATAATATGATATAGGCTGACCTGTAGGTTTATAAGTCCGACGTGTACAAAAAAAAACCTATGGCCTGTTTTTTAAATAGATTTTTTTATTAAAGCCTATGCTTATTCCATTTTACTACTTATAATAGGCCAAGCCTGACCTAATATAGGCTAGGTCGTAGGTCCCTGTAGGCCGGCCTAGCCCATTTACACCCCTACTCATGACACTTACTAATGCTTGATTAATGTAGTTAAATAAAAATAATGTAAACATTAACTTAACAGACTTTTAATAAGAAGACCTATTAAATTATATATATATATATATATATATATATATATATATATATATATATAATTAGATTCCATCTCCCTATAAGATATAGGTATATGAAGTATAGTAATAGAAGTTTAAAAATCCTTTTACTTTATTTTCTGTTATCAATTTTGCATTTTTCTTATGTAATATATCAAGGGTTTTATTTCTTTTATATCACATAAGAGAAATCTTATCTCCTATTTTCATTTTAATTTTTGTGTTCTATTTTTTTTTTAAGTAAAATGGGTTCCACCATTTGTTTTATGTGTAGGAGACAAGATTTCTTTTATGTGCATAAGAGAAATAAAACCTATATATTAATTCTACACTTTATTTCTAAAGGGACGGATTCAAATATGGTGCATGAACACTTGTCCAAGAAATTTAAATTTAATAATTACTATAATTAATTTTTTTGGTACATGGCTATAATGATGTTAAGTAGCCCAAATTTCCTCATATTTTAAGATAAGATATGACATTATATTTATATTTTTTCATGCTTACTTTACACATTTTTCTTCGATACCATTATATCTCAATTGATCTTCACCTTTTTTCTTTTCTTCCCTTGTTAATTGAGATTGTGATCTAACCATATTGGAAATAAGTAGGTAAACGATATTGGAAATAAGTAGGTAAAATAAATAAATAAAAGTAGACATAGTATTCCATCACTTTTAAAATAATTATATTAAGAAGTAATTCAAGCAGCGTGAAATTATTATTATCTTTAACTATTATTCCTTATTTTCCTTAAATAATAATTATTTCTTCACTAGTAAGTGATTGCTTTGTTGGTTGAGAATTGTTACCCAAACAATATGAAATAGATGGTTTTATAACTTCTTCTTCTTCTTCTTCTTATTATTATTATCATTAAACTTCTCTAAAACAGAGTTTAGCACATTAATTTTATGCTTATGAAAATCTTAGTACTCTGCAGTAAAATTATTATAACTAATGCTACAAGAATAAAATATTACACGTATTACTAACCTGTGTAAAGCAATAATTAGTGATATTGAATAATAAATGGTCAATGTTAGACAAAAATATAAACGAAGCGTTAAAACGATGTTAGTGAATAGTGATATGGTTAGATTAACACCCAAATAATAAATCACAAAACAGTAGCAATTGAAGAGGACATTATTATTTCATATAATAAATATCATGAAGGTTTAAATCTAGGACCTTCAATAAATTACACGAACTCGACGACACTATTAGACTCCAAATTATTTTATCATCACATGTCTCAATGCATACACTTAAAGGAAATAAATGTTTATCACATTTTTGGAACATAGAAAAATAATTCAAATGATTGCTTTTCCAGAAGGTTTATATGCAATGGGGATTAAGCATAGATCATTCTTCTTTGGTGCTACAATGCCAAAGCTCTCAGTCATGTCCAATTCTTCATTGTTCATTCCATTTGGTAACTTCCAATCAAAATGATAAAGCAAATTGGCAAGTGGAAGCTGTAAGTAAGGTATAGAAAATGCAATTCCTGGGCATATTCTCCTTCCAGCACCAAACGGGATATATTGGAAATTGGTGCCATTAAAATCAATTGGGTTATCAAGAAATCTCTCTGGTAAAAATCTCTCAGCTTCAGCCCAATATTTAGGATCTCTTCCAATAGCCCAAGCATTGACTATGATAGTGCTCTTAGCAGGTATCTCATATCCTTTGATAACACATTCCTCACTGTTTTCTCTTGGAATTGATAATACTTCAGGGGGATGTAGCCTCAAGGTTTCTTTGATGACTGAATTTAAGTACTTCAGATGGTTAAGGTTTGTTTCATCTACATATCCTTTAAGTCCAAAAACCTTTCTTACCTCAGTTTGTGCTTTTTCCATAGCCTTTGGATTTTTCATGAGTTCTGACATGGCCCATATTATAGTTATTGATGGTGCTCCAGTGCCACCAACAAGCATGTCCTGAAATTAACCAGCTTAATTTTAGTTAATAATAAAAGAAAATTTTGTGATGGTCTACAATTTAGCACATAATAATTTTTCTTAATTTTTTCCCAAAACAATGCTTCATCTGAAAACTGCCCTTCAACATTTTGATCATCAATTTTTCTAAATACGATTTAAATTATTGATCCAAACACACCAAAAACTATGATTGATGCCAATATTTTATGGGCTTTATTTATCTTATGTGACATAAGAGAACCTTTATTTCCTAAAACACCGAAATCAAAATGAGAGTAGGAGAGAAAATTTCTCAAATGTTACATAAGAGAAATAAAACCCATATTTTATATTGTAGAAATCCACTCAAACATTTTTCTCCCCTTCCTTCATCTTTCACCCTCCAACATCTCTTCTTTTTTCGTCTCTTCCGTTTAATCCTTTATGACGTTATTCCAATAAGGAGCTCAATATATACCAGTGTAAGAATAAACATTCTTATACTCAATATATTAAAGCTCTTAAATATAAATAAGATCAACATAAAATTGTGAATGTAACTTATACCAATATAAATGATTCTGTCCATATATGGGAGGGATTCTTTGACTATGGTGTAAGAATACAAAGTATTACTCCACATCTCAATTGTTGATCTACGTGCACCTAAAGGTTATAATTTATTAGGGATTACTAATTAACTAGTGGATATAATTTAATAAATTATAACCATTAGATGTACGAAAATTAACGGTTGAAATGTGGAGTAAAATTTCTTATTCTTACACTGAAGTCAAAAGTCCCTATATATATAATGAGATTAATATTTTTTTTGCAAGCCGAAGATAATTTTATCTTTTATACATATATGGAAAGGATCTCTTTTTTCTTATGTTGTTGCAAATTTTTTTTACAGCAACAACTGATTATAACTATTATTTCATGAAATACATAGTTATAATCTTAAATTTTTTTTTTCTCTCTTCAAAAATTGTATACTGAGGCGAAGAGAGAGAAAAAAATAATTTTTTGATTATAACTATGTATTCCCGGGAATACATAGTTATAATCTAATATAAGAAATACATTTCCCGTATGGAAATGAGTGGGAGCTACGAAGAGATGAGAGAAAAAGGGAAAAAATGAGGTCAATTCACTCTCATGTATATTTGCAGGAGAAAAATAAAGTCATATACGATTTTAAAACCAAGTAGGGAAAATGATATACTGAATAGCACACTGAATTACTGACCCACATTATTGCTTTGATGATGTTGTGAGTTATGGGATTTTCCAAGTCATCTATCTTATGATTTTTGAGAAGAACATGAAATAGATCATCCTCCAATACACCGTGGCTGCTCTTATAATTTTCCTCGAGATCTTTGAGTATATTTTCTAGGACCCTGTCACTCTCTCTCCGCACCCTTTCAACTAGAGCTTTCATTCCTGTAAGTAAAGGAAGCACTTTGATGGAAGGATAGTAATCAACAATTGAGAAACCTGCCAACATCTTTGACATTTGTCCCAATGCTGAAAAGAAAGCAACTTGGTCTCTACATTTTTTACCAAATGCTGCCCTTGAAATTATATCATTTGCCATTAACACAATTTGCATACTAAGGTTCACAATTGAACCTTCATTTGCAAATATGTTTCTAATGAGTTTTGACACCTCCTCTTCTCGTATGAGCCTGAATGATTGAACTTTTTTTGCATTTAACAACTTTGACGTGCACAACTTCTTTAATTGTCTCCAATGGCTTCCATGGGGACAGAAGGTAATGTCAGTGTTATCATAACTAAAGGATTTGGAAGAAAGATGATGAGGCCTATTTGCAAAGATGGCATCATGTGTTTTCATAACCTCTTTGGCCATTTCTGCTGAAGAGACTATGATATGTGTCTTTGATCCAAGTTGAAGGTGCATCAAGGGTCCGTGTTGGTTTGCTAAGTTCCTCAAAGTATGATGGGGCTGTGAGGAAAAAAATTGGTGAATGTTGCCTATAAGTGGTAGTTTCCATGGCCCAGGTGGTAAGTTTTTGATGGGTTTCTTCAAATTTGAAGGAATCAGAATGATGAATATTGCATGGAAAATGCAGAAGAAGGTGAATAGGATAGAACAAAGTATATGAAGCTCCATGATGAGGTGACAAATTCATGAAAAGGTGAATAGGATAGAACAAAGTATATGAAGCTCCATGATGAGGTGACAAATTCATGAAAAGGTGTTTGTGATTTTTGATAATGCAAATTGATGGAGTTTTCTCCGTATTTTGGAAGGAGTGGTGTGAGTTCCACACGTGAACCACAAAATTTGAGATTTATTTGTTTTACAAAATTATTAAAATAATAATAATAATATGATATATATATATATATATATATATATATATATATATATATATATATATATATATAGCCTTTAATGTTTCTACATTGAATGTAGATAAATTATCTACATTCGCTCCCAAAACGACTTCGTTTTGGGTTGAAAAATTATAATGAAAAAGACTATTATAACCCTGAAATAAATTATAATTACAAAAAACCTTGATTTCCGCCTCAAAATGACGTCATTTTGGGCTCAATGTAGATAAATTATCTACATTGACCGTAGAAAAAGCGAACCGATATATATATATATATATATATATATATATATATATATATATATATATATTGGGATAGGTTATTCTTATACTAGTATAAAAATAAAAAGTCTTAAGCTCATTTTTGTTGGATTTTTGGGTCTAAATCCCATAGGTTATGAATAAGAAGTTTGGTATTGAAAATGTGTGTCTTTTCGTGTCGAACAGATGTGTCTTTTAGTGTTGAACGAATGTGTCTTTTCATGTCAAACAAATGTGTCTTTTGTGTCGAACGAATGTGTCTTTTCGTGTCGAACGGATGTGTCTTTTCATGTCAAATAGATGTATCTTTTCGTGTCGAACAAAAGTGTCTTTTCGTGGCGAACGAATGTATTGTTTCATTGACAAAAAAGTGCCCTTTGAATTGCGACCTTACATTTTCTATAAATATATAGAATTAGAATTTTAGTTTAGTGCATCCATACCATAGTATTAGGGAATTTTTTATGGTAGAACCGTGGTACCATTTTTTCAGTGGGGAACACCAATAAAAAATGGGCAGAGAATGTGAAAGTGAGATGAAAAAAAGAAAAGAAAAATCCAAGTGGCAAAATTTGAATGCTTTATAATATTCATAACTTTATAACATTGGAAAAATGTGTGCCATTTTAAATAACACATCTTACATTCTTTCACTCTCATAAAGAGGTAGGATCCACATCTTTTTTCCTTTACTTTTAACATGCGACGGTGGTATCAAAAGTTCGCTCATAGTATTAGATAGAGTGATTCCTCAAACATTTAGTTTTGTTTGTTCGAGCTTTTGATCGGTAGTGCCATCGTCTTGAATACGTCAATCCGTTCTATCTTGGAAGACAATTGTTCAATGATAGGGACCCATAATATCACCACTCCAAAAGCTAGCTCAAAGGGTGAGAGTGTCCAAGGCCTTATAAATCCCACACTAGTTGCCTACACAATCAATGTGGGACTCCTAACATTGCCACCCCCTTTAAGGTCGATATCCACGATGGCTTTCACTCTGACCCGGTGATAGCCCTTTCCTCCTTTGGACGGCTTCACCCACCTATCAGGTAGCCCTTTCCGCAGTTCGACTCTCAACGAGAGCACCAAATGATAAGTTCCTTTTTAGCAAAAAAGATAAGCTTAAGAAAAAGAGAAAAATAAATTAAATAAAGCAATTTTCTGATATCTTTTCATTCATAATGGGTCTTTAAATAAAGATTACAACTAAAGCATAAACAGTACAAACATAATGGAAAGTAACTACCAAACTAAACAAAATGGAAAATAACTACCCAACTAAATAATACAAAAAACATGGAGATGCATTTACATATTCATGGGATCATGGGTTTGTATCATTCAACAACCTTCGGCATCCATAGAGGGAACAAATTGTCTTAAGGAGACAACATCTGTTGGGCTCGGATTCATCTACACATTGACATCTTTTTCATATATACCATGTGAGTTCGTTCCTTATTTTTATTGCACTTTAATTATATATTTAATTATAGCATCTTTGTTCCACGAAATCAAATCTCTTGGTGATTATTCATCCACTTTCTTCAACAACAATCTTAAGACAATTTGGGACTGTTTGGTGTGATGTATAAGGCATGATAGTATAAGCTTATACTATACGTTATGACATTTTCAGTTGTTTGATGTGACTATCGTATAGTATAAGCTTATACAGCATAATCCTTTAATACATCAAAAGATTCAAAACGATGTATAACTTAATCCGGCCTAAGATGGAAGAATAAGGCCTGATAAGAGATTAGTGTATTATTAACATCGTTGACCAGTGCAATTCTAAAAAATTAATATATTTTTAATATTGATATATTAAAATAAAAATTAATTTTTCAATATATTAATTTTTAAAATATTGAATATTTTTATTTTTATACAAATTAATTTGTTTTGGACACACTGTTCAATAAATTTTTATAAAAATCAATATCATATGATATTTTTTGAAGAATTATATAAATTCTTTATTAAAAGATATTTTTATTAAAAATATTTATTTTTATCCTATATAGTATTATATAGTGCATTACCAAATACTAAATGATATTATCTTATACAATATATTATTTTATACAATACCGTGCCAAACGCTGGATAGTATTAAAATTCAATCAGGTCTTATACTATCAGGTCTTATCCTATACTATGCACCAAACATGCCCTTTATGCTTTGAATCTGTGCTTAGTATGTTTTATATTTCTACTTTAATATACTGTTTATTGTGCAATTAAAAAATTAATCTATGTGATTGATCATACTTTCTGTTTGAGTAACAGAAATGGAATTTTTAATTGTGTTCAATGTTTTGACTTGTGAATATTCAATTGGTGGAACTCCTATTTTGATATTTTCAATTTACGAAATTCGAAAACAATTTTACATGATATATATGTTAAATCTGTGTTTTCGATTCCGATCAGTATAGTTTTTTTTTTTTTTTTTGAATAAATCTGACACCCATTAGTCCCTACTTTCGTGTTTTCATATTATCTGGAACACTAGTACTAATCTGCGTGTAAATTTTTCGTCTTTCCATGATTTTCTAAACGGTACTTAATGGTGCTTTTTGATTTTCATGTTGAATAGTATTTGTAATTTCGTGCACGATTAAAGTTTCATATTGAATTTGTGTGGACAATTACGCATACCATTTGATCAATATTTCATGAATTGGAATTGTGCCTCATTTTTCGTATTTGAATATTCACCACCAAATTCATTTCAATTCTGTTCGGATTTGTTCTGCATTGCGTATTTGTACCTGCACTTCCATGATCGGTTAATTGGTTTTGTGCCTGCACTGTGATTCTTCTGTGTTTATCTGTGTAGTTTATAGGTTTGTAATTCTGTTTCTTGCCAATTGTTACTAAAATTTAAATTCACATTGCTTTAAAATTAAAATTAGCAATGTGTTAAAGGTTTGTATCGATAATCTTATTTTGTGACTACAAATTTAGAGATGAATTCTGATTCTTGAAAAACTAGAGTTTTGAAATTGCAATATTATAAATAATCATTGGCAATTTCTTTTATTGGGTTTTATTATCATAATTTTTGGTAATTTGGTATCAATCATTAGATTGATGTGTTAGGTTTAATTGTGTGTAAATTAAATCGGATTTGATTTCTGTTTGTGTGACAGAAATGACAAGTATGAGAAATAAGAAATGTTTATTACTTGAATTGATTGTTATATTATTTATTATGGGAAATGATCAATCCTTGTGATGTTGTAAATATTGACATGTATGGTCTTTATATGTATGTAAATTGTGATTTTATGGTGTTGGCAAATGATAATTCTTGCCCATAATGCACTTTATAGCATGATGGATATAAGAGTTTTATATCTACTGAAATATTTGATATTATATGAATTTAGAACGACTATCATAGTGATGACATGATCAAAGTCAATGTGATGACTTTGAAATGTTGTAAATGACATGACAATTGTGAATCATTTTATGGTTAAATTGGAATTTATTATTTGAAATATGTGTTATAACCGAATAATGTTAAACTGAAAGTTAAAGGTATTAATTAAGGAGCGATCGAGGGAGATTTTATAATGACTCTTCGAGGAACTTTGTTTAGAGTTTGAAACTTTACACCAAACGATGGCTCCTTAAGCAATACAATCCAACAGGATTGTTGAGAAAAAAAAAACCAGACATTAAATAAAATGATGTTGTTACCGTCTGGTTTGAGGGGGGGGGGGAAGTCATTTTAATGACAAACTATATAATCAATAGAGTACCCCACAAGAAAGTTAAGAACATTCCCAATGAAATGTTAAAAAGGTAGAAAACCAACCTTAAATTATCTTAAAGTGTGTGAGTATTTGGTAAAGGACGCGAATCCGAAATAAAAAAGGGTTAAATCGAACCAAAGACAGTGGACTATGTGTTCATTGGATATATAAATAATAATGGTGTGGATCAATTATGCAAATTAAATCACTGACTCTAGTGAAACTAAGTCCACAAGTGGGTATGTGTACGCACTTTGTGGGGGTGTTGTGTCTTAGAAATCATCCAAACAAGCATGTATTACAAGGTCGACCATGGAAGCAAAAAACCTATTGCCTCAGACAAAGTTGGTGGCGTAGCTAAGTGCTACGAAACTTCCTTGAGGATAATTCGAACTGGTAGAAGCGAGTGCCTACAGTGTGCATACACTTTGATAGTCAGGTAGGGAACAAAAGGGTAAGGAATATTATGT